TTTCACACACGCTTGCATGCATAAATGCACACACCCACACAAACACATACATGAATACACCCCTACACACACACAAACCTGCTCTCAAAAATTAAAAGAAAACCAAAAGGAAATCAAAAGCAAGGCCCATGTTCTCTGACCCTTGGCACCACTGCCTGCAGCTGCCACCTGGAAAGCCAGGAAAGGAATGAAAGCATGCTTCCCACTCTGCACCTGCCCGGCTGTGAAAGTAAAAGAAAATGTCGCAGCCCAGAAACTTTTTAAAAGCACCCCCACCCTGCGGCACAATTAGACATCTGTGAGCTTAGACTCCAGCTTGCATTCTTGCTTGGGGGTTTAAAATGAAAGAAAAAAGGAATAGGCATGAGGAAGATTGGTATTTCAGCCTCCAGCTACTTCCAGCCATTAAATGCCATTTCTTCTAATCAGATTCTCTGCTCCTGGCTGGGGACTCCGACTGATGTCCCTAAGCAATGGGGACCAAAAGCCATAAAAGAGCCTTGCTAGAAAGCCCAGTTGAAGCCCTAATCCCCTCCAAATGCTTCTATGCAAAGCCCTTTGCAGGGTGGAGGGAAGATTAAGGATCTGAGGAGCCATGCATGAGCAGACAGGCAAGCCCAGATGATGGGCAGCCTGCACTTGACAGGTGCACGCAGGGCTGTGTTCCTGCATGTGGCTGGAGGCAGGCAGAGGTGGCAAGCAGCAGAAGCCTAGGATGCAGCAGTGGTGGTGCAGACCCACACTTCTCTCTGCAGCTCCATCCAAATGAGCACCTGAGGCAAGTCATAAACTGCCTGGGGTTGTCAGAAGAAGAGGGTGACAGAAGTACCAAAGCTAGTGCTAGGCTGACTCTGTATCTCTTTCATGTCCAGCTTCAAGTCAGAAGACAAGAAATTTACCAAACCATCAATGCTTCCATACAAAGGCAGTATTGAAAAAACGTAGCTTTGATTTAACAGCAAATAACCGGCTGCAAGAAGATTTGTCTGACACAGGCATGGGTTTCTAAAGCCCCGAGTGTCAGCCTGAGCCAATAAATATACAAGACTGCATTAAAGAAACACACCCTCTCCCAGACCTGTGTAAACTCTGGATATGAGGCAACCAAGAGCTTTCTGAAGAGTGGACTCTCTGCAGGTCATGGCTGGCAGGATTCATGAAAACCAAGAATTGTTACTGGGCCAGAGAGAACCAGTGTGTATCCACGGTTTCCAACTGGAGCTCAGAAAGAGACCAGGTGCAAGAAACAAGGTTTCAGATGCAAATCTGGAAGTGATAAGAATATATAGTGGCCTCACTGACCATGACAATGTAAAATGACAAATGTGTCATTTTGAACCTTCTGAACCAAATATAATGACTTGTATTAATGTTGACAGATTCCTCCTGGGTTATTATGCAAAGGAAGAGAAAAGTGATAGCTCTAATTAATTGGAAGGGCCCATGGACACTTCTTAATGTCTGGAACATTTCAGATTCTAATTTGCTGCTCAGATTTACCTGTGGGAATGCTAGGACTACAATGACTCTGTTAAATTTCTATTAAAGACACACACACACACACACACACACACACACACACACACACACACACCACA